AGAAGTCCGTAAGCAAGGACCAGCGAGACGGGGACGAGGACCACCATGAGTACCGGGAGGAGGACCACGATGAAGACTACATTGAGGGAGGACCACGAGGAGGATCACGATGAAGACTACGATGAGGGAGGACCACGACGAGGATCACGACGAAGACCACGATGAGAGGACCACGATGAGGGATGACCATGGCGAGGACCGCGAGGAGGACCACGACGAGGAAGGACCACGATGAGGAAGGACCACGATGAGGATGGACCACGATGAGGAAGGACCACGACGAGGAAGGACCACGATGAGGAAGGACAACGATGAGGATGGACCACGATAAGGAAGGACCACGACGAGGAAGGACGACGATGAGGAGGACCACGATGAGGAAGGACCACGAAGAGGAAGGACCACGACGAGAACCACGAGGAGGACCACCAGGAGGACCTCGATGAAGACGACGACGAGAACCACCATGAAGATCATCATGAGGACCACGATGAGGACCGCGACGGACCATCATGAGCACCACAACGAGGACCGTCATGAGGACCACGACCACGAAGAGGAGTACCATGAGGACCAAGGTGGAAATGCAGGCGCTGTGCGAGTCGCGCAGGACGCGGGGGCCACTGAAACAGTGTTGTTTGTGGCTTTGTGGCGCTCGGGGCGGATAGCGCAGTCAACACAAACGAGTCACGCCGTGAAGGGACACCCCTAAAAGACCAACAACGGCGCGGGGGAGGGGCGGCAGTGGAGGGGCCCATGCACACTCGGCCCGGCTAGTCGCGCCGGAGCAGACTGATTCCGAGAGGCGTCTCGCTCTGTCTCTCTCGCACCGGTCGGGGACGCCGCAAGAGTGTGAAAGAGACAGAGCGACGAAAACGACTCTCGGACTCAGCGTGGCGACGGCGGTGCTCTCACTCCCCTCCTCGGCGCGTCTCGCTCCGCGTCTCGCTCTGCCTCTCTCCGTCTCGCTCGCTCTGAAACGGAGCCCCGTTCTTTTTGCTCTCTTTCCTCTCCTCGCGTTTTCCCTCTCTGCCAATCAAATATGTATGTCGCGGGCTGTGATTGGTGGAGGGCTGCGCGACCTCCCCCCCTCCCCCACCCTTCCGCCTTTCTCTCTCTTTCACTCGCCCCCTCTTCTCCCCCCCTCCCCGCCCCTCGTCTGCGGGTGGCGCGGCGTTCTTCTCGCCCCCCTCCCCTCTTTTACGAAGTGAGCGGAGTCGAGCCCGAGAGCTGAGTTGAGTCCGAGCCGAGTTGAGCCGAGCCGGGCCGGGCCCGAAGCGCCCCTCCGTCCCCGCCGCCGGGCGCATTACACAGAGAGGTGTAATTTGGAAACATTTCAGAAAAGTACGGTCCGGACAGAACTAAGTATATTGAAAAGTAAATGGATGCCGGGCCAGCCGGAGCTGCTACTGTGCGCCGAGAATACGGGAATCATTTGGAACCCCGCAGGGAAGGGGGAGTGTGGAGAGAGGGGGAGATGGAGGGGGGAGCAGCAGGAAGAGAAGTGGACTCCTGGAGACGGGCAATGAAGATGGCGATGAGGACAATAAAGAACAAGGGAAGAGCGCCTCAAGCTCGTCCTGCAGGGCCCCACTACGCGCACCCCCACCACACCCCGCGTCGCCTCAGCGCCCTGCAATCCTGCGGTCCAGCCCGGTGCCGTCCGGGGTACAGTGGGCCAGAAGACCGGTGGAGGCGGTCAAAATACCGAACCTGTTTCGAGCCCCAGAGTCGCTCAATAGGACCCGAACGAAACGTGTGACCCCATCAATGAATTGCTCTCCGAACGAGGAATTCATTGGTGGGGTCACACGATCGCTTCGAATTCTGCTTTGCGACTCCAAAGCTCAAACCGCCTCTACGCTTTTGGCCGACGGCACCGGTCTTCTGGCCCACTGTGCGAGGCCACGCCACAGCAGAAAAATAGCCGGCCGGCAGGACGTCGTGGACTATAAGGACGGCTGCTTTACTGAGTTTTGTATTCACTTTTTCTGTTGCCACCATGTTCAATGTCAAGCTGTTCCGAGAGCCTCGGAAGTTTTCTTCGGAAAAGTGGACTTTTTGCCGAGTTTTGCCCGGCTTGGCGACAAAGGCGGACAGTCGCAGGGGACGTCCAAAGGACACATCAGTCGCCGGCAGAGACGTAGCTGTTGTTGTTGTTGTTGTTGTATTGTGGTAGTAGTTGAAGGTCTTCGCTTTTTTCTGCAATTCCCCTCGCGGTACTTCATTCTCCCTCCCTATGAAATCCGACCCAATGGTGTTCGTCTGTCCTGTCTGCAAACGACAGCGAATAATGAATACAGGGGAAAAAAGGGACGTCTTAAGACGATATCCTTCGTTCGATACAGACATGCAGAAAGCAATGTTTATTTTGATGGCTCAATCATTCATAGCAGTGAGGAGCACTGTGAGGAGAGCAATGGGAGTGTTGGGCGGGAACGCAGTTTTGACGACGCCACTCTCCCCAGACCCAGGAACGTACGCCCCTGCGGTTCGCCGGGTAGGCAACCCACGTGCACCTGTGCATCGTATCGCTGCCGATTGCCTACGCTGCAGGCTGTGACTCCACCGGTAAAACAAAGGCGTGAAAAATACGGACACATTGTATACAATACAGAGGCATTACAGCATTTCACGCCCTTCAAGGGCGGAATGTGGTAGAAAGGACACTTAAAGTGTGTCTACAAGTCCTAAAATTCATGCCCCTCCGAAAGGCACGAAACGATTCAAGCCGTTCCAGGTGTAAATAGTTTGCGCCATAGTCTTTAATTTTTATGCGTTTGTTTCATCCATCAGTGGTGTCCGCCTTCCCCTTAAATTCCTCCTTTTCTCAGCAACACGAAGAAGGTTGTCGTGTGGTAAAATCAATCCAATCGATACCTGCTAAGCAACTAAGCTGCATGTTAAAGAAGTTTCCGATCCGTCGTCGCAACCTGGTTTTGGTTGTAAGCATCGGATTTTCAAATACAGCTCGAGAATGAAGCTAATTTAACAGAGTTTATTTATCATCTCAATTTTTTTTTCGTGGAGACGAAACGCTGCAACACGCTGGCAAAGAATTGCACTGAGAATGAATGAAAAAGGCATGATCATGACTAAAATATTGGGTGAGGAATTCTTTATGACCCAAATTTGGGTGAGGAAGGTTTCATCACCAAAATTTGGGTCATAATACTATGGAGCCATATAGGTAGCTGATACACCCTTCCTCGCCCAAATTTGGGTGATAAGTATACCTCGCCCAAAATTGGGTATTGATCATGACTTTTTCATTCTCAGTGTGACAGCAGATTTTCAAATTCATCGCGGAGTAACAAGATGATGGCGCCTCCAGTAGGCAGGCTGGGCTTTGTGGCGATGGCGCGCACACTGCACGCCTCTGCACATGCCTTCGTTTTAAAGCTTTTCTAATTCTAGGAAGTGGGTGCGAGTGTGGCGGCCGAGACAAAGCGGCGCCGACTCGGCGGCCAGACTCGCAGACGGCGGGCCGCAGACGAGGAGATTGTCGACTACAGTTTGACACACGTTTCTGCAAAACAAAGGGGTAGTGACAGTATGGTTTTATTTTCTGCTTCTGTTTGTGTGTATCTGTGTGTCTCTATCTCTCTCTTTCCGTGTGTGTGTGTGTGTGTGTGTGTGTGTGTGTGTTTAGCAAGGGGAGCGGCGTTCCTGCCTGTCCGCGTGACTGTCTATCTAACTGTCTGTCCATCCGTCTGTCGGTGTGATTGTCTGCTTGTGAGTTTGTTCGTGTTTGTGTGTCAGAGAGAGAGAGAGAGAGAGAGAGAGAGAGAGAGAGAGAGAGAGAGAGAGAAGGAAACTAAATTAAGTCAGTTAATGTGTGTTTATATGGGTATTTAGATACTAATTCATGTATGTTCTAAGTACGACCGTGTGACTTCTCTAAATTCAGTTTCATTCGATTTGATTTTCCCAGTAATGTGTCAAGCGGCCTCCTCTCAGTGGTACAGCACGGCCCCGCAGCACCGCCCCGCCGCCGGCCTTCAAACTGCTACCCCCGATTCGCAGCCACTCGATCACCGCCGACCGCGCTGACCGCCGCCGGGCCGCCCCGACTCGACTCCCACGGCCACGCGATCTCTGCTCATCAGCAGCTCCCCCCTCCCCCTCCCCGCCAAATTATGGAATTCCCCATTAGGGTGCGCGGGGGGCGCCCTCGCGGCCGGCCACCGCCCCGCCCCAGCGCCGCGGCCGCACTGACTCCGTGCTGGTCCTGCTCGCCGTGACCGCCGCCCCGGCCGGCCGCGCCCCGCCGCGCCCTCTCCCCCCACCCCCCGGCCAGTTGGAGTAATTGCTGCGGCGCGGTTAGCCAGCCTCCCCCTCCCCTCCCCTCCTCCTCTTTCTACTGTGATTAAGGGCTGGTGGCCGCGTGGCCGCGGGAGGAGGCTAAATAGTCCGTCTCCCTCCCGGCCGGCCTGGGCCCGGGCCTGGCCCTAGCTAGCCCTAGCCAGGCGCAGGGCTACGCAGGGCGACGCCGGGCCCACAAGCACCGTCTATAATCGGCCATGGACAAGGGCCCGGCCGGTGGCGGCGCGCGGCGTGGTGGGGGAGCGGCGCGGCGGTGGTGGGGGCGCGGCGGGCGCGGTGGTGGGGGCGGCGGACGCTCCCTCCCCTCCCGCCGCGCTCGCTGGCGCCGCCCCCGGCCGCAGGCCCCGCCCCCGGCGGTTGGCAGGTGGGCGGGGCGGCGCGGCGGGCTGCTCGCCCAGTCCGCCTTCAACCCCGAGCGCGTTCGCACGTCGGGCCGCGCTCCGCCACCAGCTCCCAGGCGGTCGCCACGACCGGGCCGCGGCGCGAGAGCCACCGACCACGTGACGAGTGCCGCTGACAGTGCGCGAGTGTGTGCAGTGCTGTGTTTGTGAGCCGAAGATGACATGAAGACGCTGAGTGCGCCGAGTGGCCGGGGCGTCCACACCCTGGGGGTGCGCCAAGGCCCTCCCGGCGTGGGCCTGGGGCCCGGCGTGGGCCTGGGGCCGCCCAGCACCATGCCGCAGCGGTCCCCGTTCGCCATCCAGGAGCTGCTGGGCCTGTCGGACCCGGAGGGCCCGCCGAGGAGCCCGTCAGGCGCAGGGGCGGTGTCACCCGTCACCCCCGGGGGCCCCGGCAACCCGCTGCGCGGCCCCCCGCACGGACCCGCGCACGGACCCGCGCCGCCGGGATCCTTCCCGCCGCACATGGCGCACCACCACCACATGTCCGTGGCGGGGCACATGTCCAGGATGGCGTACCTCAACGCGCAGGCCGCGGTGGCAGCCGCCTTCCTTCCCCAGCACATCAACATGGCCCACGGCACCATGGCCGCCAACCCCATGGGGCTGCACCACCGAGCTGGTCTCGAAGCGCCTCCCCCAGGTGAGACGCGGCCCCGCGCGACTTGACAGGGCGTGGGCCGCGGAAAGACGACGAGTCTTGTCTGCACTGCAGTCCGTGCCTACTTCCACCGACACGGACCTCAAACACACCCTACCCAACTCGGAGTTGAACCAAAACACCGAAACAAACTCCCCCACACGCTAAATGCTCTTGGGATTCTTGTGCATAAATAAGTATGGGCGTAGAGTGCAGCAGTAAGTTACGTACAAATTTGTACACTGGGAAAAAGATTATAAATACTTGGGCACAATACGGAGATATTGTCCCTAATTCAAGTATAACATTGCACATAGCTTTCCTATGCAAAAATATGGCAATGGTTGGAAAACCAACGTACATGAACATTAAGTGTGAGCACACCTACTGCCACCAAACCGGATTTCAAAAAAACAAAAAACAAAAAAACTCTGGACTCGGGGTTGGACCAGGGCACCAAAACACTAAACAACCTCTTCCCGCCAAGTCGTCATCATTCGACTGTTTCCCGCAGTGGCGTGGAACAAACGTCCGACAAGGACGCGCTTGTTCCATGAATCACTGTATTAAACCATCTCTTCCTGCTCCGCGCGAGCATCGGCACAGTAATGACGTTATTCCGTTTAATTGAGTAGAAGAGGCGCATTAGCGATTTGCATAATTTGCATGTAATGGAACCGTCCCTCTCGGGGGACGAAAAATAAACTCATCGCGTCCGAGGAGACGAGCGGGCCGGCGCCTGATCGCCACACCCCGTCCGCCGTCGTCACTTCCGAGTGAACGCGTCCCGGACCCCGCGTCGCGAGGCGGGGCGGTTTTCCCAGCGCGTTTGAGTCTCCCTCGGCCGCGCCGTCGACGGTTCGGCCGTAGCAAAACGAAACACCAGTCAATCCCTGTTAGACTGTTTGTCCATAACTATTGTCATATTTATGCTTGAGATCGTTACGTACAAATTTGTATATACACGGTAAAAACCGTACCTGGTTTTCCCAGGAGCTCCCAGGAAATCGCCTATGCCTTCACCATAGGCTTCCTGGGAAAACCAGGTTCTGTTTTTACTGTGTAAACTAGGTAGAATTTTAGAAATACTTCAGGACAATGAAAACATTGTCACCGAATTTACGCATCAATCTGTACGTAGCTCATAAATTCACAAATGTAGCAAAGTTATGGTGAACAAAAGTACAACAACATTTAGCACGAGCTCACAGCCTTCTCTTCCTTGCCATAGTCATTTCGTGGTGGTGTTTTTCATTCAATTTCCAACTTGCCTGGACGTTGACGTTCATGCGGTTAGTATTCGAATTCCGTCTTAGTACTTTTCATTCAAATCGCAAATTTTTGCCTAAAATAAAATAACCACGCTATTCAGCCAGAAGGTCGTGAAATTTGAAGTAGGGCGGAATGTTTGTTTACACTCCGGTTTATGAATTAAAATACACCTTTTTGGTGAGCATGGCTTCTCGGCCGGTGCATCGCGCGGTGTCGCAGCGTTGCTGTCGCGCTTTTCGAAAAAGAGTGCCGTTGATTTCTTTTTAATTGAAAATTTGTCGTAGAATCCTCGGAGAGCATGGTTTTGGAGAATTAGAGTGTTCGCTGTTATTTTTCTTAGTGTGTTTACTGGGCGTTTATTTGGGAAACAAGCGAATCCGCGAAACAGCGTACATCCGCAGTACAGACGAAGGCAATCGCTCGCGCAGATTACCTTGACAGCCACATTTCGGTAAAACTATGTGAATTCGGGGCCGGCCAGCGGCAAGGCCGACGTTTTTTCGGCGGAAAACGACCCAAATTACCTTCGTCCATTTTATCAATTATTATAATTATTATTTTTGGGTTGGCCTTCCCAAAGGTGCAGGCATGACGCGACGCGCACGTCTGCGCCGCTGTATTCAAATTCAGATGCACTTTCGGATTGCGATTCACCGCAGCCGGACGCGTTGACAGCCCACAACGCCCACCGCGATTAAAAGTGGGACTTGCAGACCCCTGCAGACTCTTCCTCTCGCACTCGTGAGGCGTCCCGCATGAGCGCGAGAGAGACAGAGCGACGAAATCAGTCTGCTGTGTGCTCGATTAACGCCGCGCAGTTTTCACCGCGAAATCATTATTATGCCCGGCGAGCCGATGGAACCACACACCTGTCGCGGACACGACAAATGTGACGTCACTCGAATTTCCAGAGGGGCTGACTGAATCGACGCAATAACAATTGTTACAATAATTTAAATTGTAATTAGTTTTTCACTTTGCCGACCGCATGCTTCAAACGTTACGAACCTTTTTTGAGCTCATGCGATATAGAAACCGTTTATTTCGTTATTCAAACACTTGCCTTGTAGATGATATTTTCTTTGAAATGTACACTGTTAAAAATGGTTGTTTTAAAACAACAACACAATAACCAACCTCGACAACGCTGTTGTTTATAAACAAGTTTTCTTGTTTTAAAACGAAAAATTCGTTGCTAATTATTTTTCTGACTTATGCTGTTTCAAAACAATATTTTGCTATCTTCAAACAACTCGGACAATCTAAGAAGTGATTACTGCGGGTCACTGGGACTTCACTAGGTCTGTGACCTAATCGGCAATCAAAATTGATGCAAATAAGGCTGTCTACTGGTTTACAACCATCTTGTTGACGAACAACGCAAGTCGTTTGTAAACAACTAAAGTCATTTGGAAACAACTTAAATCATTCAGAAAATTAGCAACATATTTACTGCTAAATTACAACTTTATTTTTAACAGTGTATGCGATAAATGCTTGGTTACAACGAGCTTCTTTTGTTTTTGTAGTTTTGTAAGGTTTTGAAAGTAGGGTGTTTTTCTCTATTTCGTGCCCACCCTTTAGGCATGAGCGAACCATCCTCGTGTGCCAAACTTTCCGCGGTTAATTTCGAATTCACCTTTGTGCAGGCCAATTACAATAAAAACGCGCGAACAAAAATAATGTAAAAATGAATTTGAGCGTCACACACATACTACGGATGCACACACGCACGAGATAAACCTGCCCTTTTCTTTGACGCACGGCGATGTCGCCCATGTCTTTGATTTGCATTCTGTCCTCTTCGGCCCTTGCGGTGCTATGCGTCCCCAAACGTCTGTCTGTCGGGGGTGGTGTGGCGAGGAGTGGTGAGGCGTGGTGTGGCAAGGCGAGGCGTGGCAAAGCGTGGCGTGGTGTGGCGTGGCGTGGCGCCTGCCCGAGGAGCGCACTGTAAGGAATTAATTAAGCACTTTGCAACTTAAGCCACAGAAACAGACGACTGGCGCTGTGCCGCCGTGGCGCGGCAGGCAGCCCAACTAGCGTACAAAGATAACGAGCCGAAAGCAACTAGGAAACTGTTTGGAGGAACGACCGGCCGGACTCCGAACTCGCGTCGCTCTGTCTCTCTCGCACTCACGGGGCGTGCCGTATGTGCGCAAGAGAGACAGAGCGACCCGTGGCACTTTTCGGGCATCAAACCCCCTGTTTCCGAAGGATCGGCGCTCTGTCTCTCTCGCACCCGTACGGAGCGTCCCGTGAGTGCGAGAGAGACAGAGCGAGACGGTCGTTCGGCGGCTGGCGGCGGCCCAGGCCTCGAATCATCATCATCAGCCCGGGCCGAGCGCACTAGCCTCTCTAGTTAGCGCGGCACTAACCTCAATTACGAGCCGCGAACGCGAGCGGGAAAAAACAACAAAAACAACGAAAAAAAAATCGAAAAAACTTTTGAAAAGTGGCGGGGCCTCGGCGGGGCAGCGCGTCGCACCGAGTGTTATTAGGCCCCGTTAATTTTACGCTCTATTGGCAATTTTCAGCTTTTTATCGACGGTGGGGGTGGCAGGGGGTGGGGGCACCGTGTAGTGGCGCAGGCTGCAGGTCCCCGGGGACGGCGGGGGCGGCGCGGGGGCGGCGCGGGGGCGGTGCGGGGGCGGCGAAAGGCTATTTGAGGCTTTTCGGAGCGACACGATACACGCGGCGCGCCAACTGAGTCCCGGGCGGCGCCGACCGAAATAAGCCGCTTCGTGAGCAGATGGAAATCAAATTCGGAAATTGGCAGGCGTGTCTCCCCTCGTAGGGGGGCTCTCTCCGGCGCCCCCGCCGCCCCGCCACGCGGAGCCCCTTCCGGGGCTGCAGCCGGGCCGGCCGGGCAGGGAGGCCCCAGATGGGGGAGCCAGATTGGCCGGCGAGGCGGGACACTCGGGGACGCGGCCGACGCGGGCAGATTGAGTCGGCATTACTCGACTTCCAGCAGACGACCAATTACTCTCCCGGATATTTCCACCTGGCGTTTTCTACTTTCGCTTTCCGACGCCCCCGCCCCCTCCCCCTTCTCCTTCCTGTCCCGCGCCCCCCGCCCCCTCCCCCGCCCGCTGGGTGTGGCGGGACTGCTGGCTTCATTCACGCCCTCGTCGTCGTCGTCGCCTCACCCGCCGAGTCGTTGTCGTCGCTCTGTCTCTCTCGCACCTGTACGGGACGCCCCATGAGTGCGAGAGAGACAGAGCGACGAGAACGACTCTCGGAATGAGTCTGGCGGCGCGCGCCGCGGCTCGTTGTTTTGGGCGCGCGGTGTCGAAATCGCCTTTTCAGGGAAAACGCGCGGCCTCGACTCGCGCAGCGCGTAGTCGCCAAGGCACGCCGAGGCGAGGGGGGAGGCTGTTGTCGAGGTGGGTGCGGGGCTCGGTTAGAAGTCTCGTTGTCACTGGATATGACAAAGTCAAGGCTGACTTTCCGTACAAAGATTGCGCCAAACTTGTTGATGACATTTGTTGTCACGCGCCGAGGCAACAAATAAGCCTGTGGTGAACTTGTAGTGAAAATTCATCAACTAATAGTGAAAATTCATCAACTAGCGATGTAAATTCTTCAGCTTGCGATAAGAATTCATCAGCTTGTGATGAAAATTTATCAGCTTGTGATGGAAATTCATCAATTTGTGATGAAAATTTATCAGCTTGTGATGAAAATTCATCAACTTGTGATGAAAATTCATCAACTTGTCATGAAAATTCATC